ATAAACCATTTCTGCGTATCTCGGAACTCAAGAAACGCTTCGAGTAATCATTGCACCAGCTGACACAGCAGACTCGAGTGCGAGTCGGTCTACCTACATGAAATACTTGCATTTTGGAAACAGTGGCTTTGAAAAATCAACTCAACTAGTTAGTTATTTAGTATTCTTGCCCAAGAAGGTAGCCAAGTAGTGATCTATCCCCCTCAAATATGGTCGAGTCCAAAGCCATCAATGCATTATATGGCGAAATATTATAGAGCGTCGCTGATGCGTAATGAAATATTTAACATAAACCTGTTGTCTGGTCAGACCAGAATGTTCACGCCCATCGGGAAAAGATTGACATCTAGATTTTACCAGAGAAAAGAAAGTAAAGAAACCCATGTTTCCTTCCTTCCAAGATGATAATCTTTCCTTACAGGATGATAAATCTTTTCCTAATCTTTCCTTCCAAGATGATAAATTTAAGAAGTGAATAACTACTTCTTATAGAAGTCCAAAGCCAATCGATGCATCATATGGCGATATATTATTGAGCGTGGTTTGATATATCAGAAGGAACTCTGTGCCTCGAACTAGAGCCTCTCGTTCACCAAGCTTTGCACTAAGCGAGGGACAAATTGTCATGGAATGTATGTCAGCAGGAGGAGAGAATATGGCTACTCGGCTAAGAACTAGGTCAACTTCGTCTTTTGGCCCGGAAAAACCTAGACTAGCGGAATTGCTCTCAATGCGCCTTGAACAGGCAAGAAGAGGTCTAATTACCGTTTCCCGTTTTCTGGATCGTCTGTCGAAGTCACAGTGTACTCCTACGATAGTTTTGAACGAGCAGCAGATATCCTTATGAGGAGAACGACACGCAATGCTGTTGCAGAGTTCACATCTTTTCTCTGCAATTCGTTTTATTAGTAAACGAAAGTGCCAGTTTCAAGGTAATTTCTGTAATTAATCAAGCAATCAAAAGAGATTAAAAAAGTAAGGAAGAGGAAACAAATACGATTCAATTTTTCAATGCCTTAAAAAATACTTGTAATTTATTTAAAATGGGCCTTACATCTACTCGAGGCAATTGTCATCTCGACCAGTTCCTTCTTACATAAAGCAAGCACCAAGTGTTTCTATAGATACTCAGTGTGGTTTCAGCGATTAACGATAAAAACACCCCTCTGAGTTTCATTTGGTAGGTTTGACCGTAACTAATTTTGAATATTACATACCGTCAGCAGAGGAAAGTTTAGTAAGAGTTCAGGGAAGTTGAAAACTTATCAACGGTAAAATACAGTGGTATTGTAGCAAGCAGAGCTTTTAATCACCGAACTGGGTTTATCTTTAGTTCTTTTTGTCCTAAAATGAGCTTTATCAACCCAAACAATAATTTACAAAATAAAACTATGAACTCAATAAGGATCGGAGTCAAATAATTGTTTGCTCCTGTTTCCTTTATGTAACACTCGACCTTAGTTCCTGTAGCCACGTGCTTCAAGGTCCAAAGTTGTATTTTTGCGGAGTTGTCGATTTCTGTGAACCGTAATTTTGAATTAATCAGCGTTATTCCGCACACGAGAAACATGTTTCTCAACTAGCAACGTTTCGCCAACATTTGGTCCGCGGTTTAGTTAAAGACTTATATTTAAACAAAGATCTCTTACGGGTAGTAATTACAGCCTCCTTTTCAACGAAATGGAAAGAGAGAAACCCCGAGATACGCTTTGTAAACAATCATTATCAGGATGTGTTGACTATCCTGCCAAATTATAACGCTATTATGGGAGCGATACAACAATTTCAGGACTGCTATCCCCTTTCAGTGTGGTACAGCAATGTGGACGGTAAGATAATTTTATATTAATACGCTGTCAATTGGTTGTAAATGCGAAACAATCGAGTTTGCGTTTGAATGTGGACATTTTCGAATAACTGACGGCATCGTCAAATCAGCTCATTTTATCCAACTTTAAAATTTGTGGAAATCGAAAAGAACCACACTTTGCCTTACAAAAGCCAGATTTTCAGTGGATTATTTTGTATAGCACATAGCTAAGTAACAGGTTACTTTTGACCTATTTTTAATCTTGTTAGAAGAAGGTCGGATAAATTTAATTGCGTTGTGTAATTAAATGATCATGAATTGCTCAAATTGCTGTCAAATTATGTATTGATGTTGTTTTTCATAATGTGGTACTTTTTGTCGGTCCAAGTGTTTTCAATTCGTGGCGCGACGCTCCGAGATTCGTCGGAAATTTTGAGCTTTAAAAGCGGCATTTGGGCGAAATTCAGCTTTTATCGATTTTCTCGAAAATAAATCGATATTCAGCCAAACGAAGTATGCAGTGCTTTGTTTCACCATAAGGCTTACCTAAATTGAGAATATGAGCCGAATCAATTTTTCGGCTATTGCCACCATATTTTGAAAATGTTCGATTTTTGGCCACTTAACACTTAACTTTGGTACTGTAAGAGAAAGAAAAGGAAGAGACTGTCTGGTAGCTAAAACGAGTTATTTCATCGACCTAACTTAAACCACAGTAAGCCTGTATGGATTTATCCACTTTTCATAATGCGTGACTGAGGCTGGCGTTGACCAAGAACGGTGAACAAGATGCCAATTTTCTCGGTTCATTGGTTTATCCATTTGTATGACAGATTTCACGAAAATAGAGAGCTTATTTTTAAATTTTTTTTTTTTTCGCAATCATTGTTCAAGGAAAACCTTAAAGTTCATCACGTTTTATCTCTTTCTTTAAAGGTGCTAAAAACAGCACTTGCGTAGTTATTCATGCTTGATAACTTCCCGTGGAGTTAGCACTGAATTTTTCTTTCCCAGAGGAAAATCAAACCTCCTGACTATTCATTCCCTAAGGCTGTGTCCAAAACTTACGAAATGCACAAAATAAGACAGACAACTACTTTTTCTTTTATTATTATTATAAGGTAAATTATATCAAAACTTATTTGAGCTCGATCTTGCATAGTCTCTTCATAG